AAATGCTGCAGATAAAGATGAAAAATTTGTAACAGGTTCCAGCAATGAATCAAAGCCATTCTCTCAGAATGAACCGAATGATTTGGTTAAAGACCTTGGTCTCACTAAAGATGCTACAGGGATCTTTGTCTTTCCAAAGATGGCACAAAGGTCATGGTCTCTGAAGAGATGTTGTGGTAGCAGATTAAATAAAAACTTACATCCAGGAATGGCTTTCTCTTAGAATAAAATAAAGAAAAAAAAGTGCTGCACTCTATTTCAAAGAAGATTGTAGGTTTATTTCACTGATGCAAGTGATTTTGTGCAGAAATTCAACAGATTACAATGCAGAAGAATAGAGACCACAGATTCTTTTAAAAGAAATCTGAGAAAGATATTGCTTCCTAACAGAAATCAATCTACATCAATAATTGTTGCTTATTCTATGCATTTAAAAGAAACATAAAAGAATTTGGTAAACGTTCTTGAGAAAAATCAATTCTAATGAACACTTGGGTCATGTGTGGAGACCTAAAAGTTTTGTGTATATTACTGGAGAAATGATCAGGATAGAAAAAAAAAATCCCATGTTTTCTCTGTGAGTGAACTGCAGAGTCATTGGGTTAAAAAAGAATGGCTAAATAGAAAGAATCTGGAGATCAGTGCCAAAACCATCATCAAACCTAACACGGTGATTCCAGAAAAAAAGAAAAAAAAAATGGAACTCATTTTATATATTTGCGCCAAAAGTTCTCTGGTCTATCTGAAGCTAAATTCAAATAGTTTATTTACTGGACCTGATATTAGAAAACAAATTTCTGATACACAATTTGATGTTGCAATGAATGACCCAGAATTAAATATTTGGATATCATTCAAAGTTAATTCAAAGTTCTTATGTAATGAAGATAGAAATTACAAAAAATTGTCAGAAAGTTTAAGGAATTCAGTTGCAACAGGAATCTCAAGATTCATTTTAAATTCAAATTTAGAATTTTACCCACTGTAAATCTTGGAGTAATGAGTGAAGAACAAGATGAAAGATGTCTTCAAGATATCAAGGAAATTTAAAGACACTATCAGGAAAATCAGTCTGATGACAGATTACTTCTAGATGATTTATAGGGACAAACTAGAAAGAAATCTGCAAACAATTGCCAATAAAAAAATTAAGAACTTTTTGACTTTAATTTTGGAGATCTGAGTAATCAAAGAAATATTCAATGTATAGATAGAATTTTCATTTACTTTCTCTTCAATCACACTTGCATTAATGCCACCTTTTGCGGCCTCCAAGCATTAGTTCATTTTTTTAAATATACTACTTATTTAAGCTCTAATTATCACAATGCTTAATTATCAAGATTATTAAAATATCATCAATGGTATGCCATTATATCTATGAGATGAGAGAGAGAGAAAGAGAGAGAAAGTGCGAGAGAGAGAGAGAGAGAGAGAAAATAAGTCAAGATTTCTTTCCTTTTTGTTTTTCTTAATTTCATAAAAAAGAAAAATAAACAGAAAAATGACTGTGAAATTAGTTGTGAATAGATTCAGACTTATCTTGAAGAGACTTCTTATACATTTTTCATTAGTGTAAGTCAATGGTTCCCAAATGGGGTTGTGTGTGATTTAGAAACTTTTTCAAAATTTTAAATATTATTATGGACTCTTTGTAAATCCATGTATGAGTCCAAGTATAAATAGTTATAAATAATTATTGACCACTTTTATCACTGTGATATTTTTGCATTATATCAAGTATTAAGAATATAGTAATTAGGGTCTGCAAATTGAAGGAGAGAGTTATCAATGATAATGTTCTGATTTTGAATCCACAGTTATCTCCCTTTAACTGTTGTTTTTTTTTATTTTTAAATGTACTTTTTATCACACAAAATTTGGTGAGACATGAATAAATTTTAATTCTGAAAATGTGGGCCAGAGAAAAAAAAAATTGGGAACTTCTGGTGTAAGTTAATGTTTTTTCATAAAAAAAGGGATTTATTTTTCCTGTATAGAAAACTAGGCTTCAGTTAAATTACTGAAACCATGTTAACGGCATGAGGATTGCCAAGAGACATCCCAATTTTCAGTATCTACAATAAATGGGATTTTAATGTTTTTTTTAATGAATATATAACAATTTATTTTCAAAGCACATACAACCTTTAATCAAAAGTATACATATGCACACACTCTAAAATCTATATTTAATATTCAAAATAGAAATTTACTTTGTACTTTGTTCAATATTAGCACTGTTTATAGCAGAATGTTTGAAGAAGTTTCAAGTGGCAGGATAGAAAAATAAATACAAACACACACACATTACATAAGCATTACATAATGCAGCATTGATTATGGATCAAGTCTTGGACAATCAGCTTAAAGGTTGAAAGAAGATCTACAGATTTTGGTACCAACACAAAACTAAAAAAGAAATGCAATATCAAGATGAAAATTAAACTCTGATAATATATGCTAAAACCAGCATTGCCTTGAAAATAGGAACAGTGTTTTTGCTGACAGAACAAATAAATCATCAAACTTCATTGTCTTGACATCAATTAGCAAAACAATTTAATACCAAATTATATTTCCTTTCTTTTGGCACCTGTTTTTCTAATTCTCTCTTATTTGCCTGAGGGACTGCACAAAATTACAGTTGCTGGGGGTGACAAACAGAAAATCCTGTGCCTATTTGCAATTTTCAAATATTCTTTTTCTTTTACCTGAACTAATTGAGACCACAGATCAAAACTGACTTGTGGGTACCTCTCACTGATAATGAAGTGACAATAATATCCATTCATCTTAATAAAACAAAATTCCAGAAAAAAAATTTCCAGGTTAAAAAAAAAAAAAAAATTATTTAAACAAATTATTGCAATCATGAAAAGAAAATTACAATTGAAGTGAATTGAGCCAATAAAAACATATATATATATATATATATATATATATATATATATATATATATATATATATATATATATAAGTTGTAACTTCTGTCTGTCTTATCAAACTCCTCCTAGACTTTTGGAGATAGAGCCCGATAACCATATATATTCTGAAACTACATTACCCAGGGTACTTGGTTGGATAAGTATATTTCATTTTGATCAAAGGGGGTCCATGCAGAATATAACACCCCTCCACTGATTCTTTCCCTTTTGATTTAAATTGTAAATTTGAACAAGTGAATAACTCCTATCCAAAATATAGAAGGAGAAAGCCAGAAGATGGAGGTCATATCAGCAAGATCATTCAGTAATATCGAAATGAATCATTTTTCTCCACAAAGTATAACAATGATTTAAAACCAATCATCATTTTCGTTCAAAAAAATGTGTGACACGCAGCAAGGCATGGGTAATTCAGCTAGTATAAATATAAAAGTGGACACAGAAGTCACTAGAAATACAATAAAATGTTCAACATTTTTGAACAGATAAGTTGGACATTTAATTTCATTTCTTGCTCTCTCTCTCTCTCTCTATATATATATATATATATATATATATTTATATATAATAAAAAGGCTTAAACACTAATATTCCATGGTCATAATTTATTCCATTGGAATCGTAAATACGATCCAAATCATCAGACCTACAAATTCAATTTTGAATATTAGAATATTAGTGTTGAAGCCTTTTTATTATATCCTTACTCTGTCCTAGACATTGAGTTCTACCTGGATTCTTCCTCTTGGAAAATTTTTTTTTTTTTCTGAAAATATACATGTATGGGTATTTTTATATATTTTTATATACATTTTGCATATGTATGTATATTTTCCACTAATATTATCTATATATATATATATATATATATATATATATATATATATATATATATATATATATATATATTATTTATTATTCTCAGTGAGTTTTTACCAAGAACTGCCTTAATTTTTAAAAGGTCATAAAAGAAATACAAAAATTTAAAAACAAACCCAAGTGACAAATGGAGACAGTTTCTGGTTAAAACTCATCGAACATCATCTGAATATATATATATATTTGTATAAGCTCATCACCTTATACAAGGATATCTTATTTAATGGAGTTTTTTGGTTTTTTTTAATTTGGAATCAATTTGCAAATAGGATATGAGTATCAGAAACCATTATGGAACTCATATTAGTAAGAATACGACGCTTGCTAAGATATTTTACTTTTGTCAGAAAAATGGCAAGTTAATCTATGAGATAGTAATGTGGTGGTATGACCAACATAAAAAGAATTTAGTTATAAGGATTGTGCCTGTGTGTATGTGTGTGCATCTGGGCCAAACAGCTATCAGCCATATACAAAAGCAAAAAGCAGACAGTAAAAAAGAATAATCAGTACAGTAAAATTAAGATAACAGAAGGGCGAAGGTTATGCTTTTATAATACAGACATAAGTTACATATTACTTTTGGATGCAACTTAAACACTACAAGATTAATACATTACACACAATATGTATTCTAAAAAACAAGTTAAGTAAAATAAATGTTTTTATTAGAAATTAAATTATTATATTTGTTTATGAATTACAGGATTCTTTCTTCTTACAGATATGGTCAGATCCTTCTTCCTACAGATCTGGTCAAATCCTTCTTCCTACAGATCTGGCCAGATCTACCTTCTTACAATTCTGGCCAGATCTTTCTTCTTACAATTCTGGCCAGGTAAGCTCAAAAGGGCTTGATCCATCTGTACACATTTTACAAAGGATCAGAGCATTAACCAACTTCACCATCAGCAATATTAGTGCTAATTGGTATAGTTTGCCCTTGAACTTACTAATTGTTTGTCCTTGAACTTGATAATCTATACATACTGAGATATTGGGTTTTTAAAAATCAAAATCAATTTCATGCACAAGGCTAAAAAAATATGGAGAAAGTGCAACTGAAATTTGCAAAGAAAAAGTGCAGCAAAGTGGCAGAAATTAAAATGTCTCTTTTGCTCGTTATGTTGACAAGATTGAAATTAATTAAGCTGAAACTGGAATGATACTTACTTTGTCTATAAATATCCCATTCAACTTTGAAAAAGCTAAATGAGGCAATTGTTCCAGTTAGAACAAGAATTAAAAGTTGCCACTCAAGTGTCAGTTTTAAGCTGTAAACAAAACAAATTGCAGCAGCCAATGACTGGAAAAGAAAGAAACAAAAGCAAAGATTTTACAATTTGTCATCATCACCATTGTCACAATAACATTGGAGATGCAACCAAATGGTAATTAAACATATAATCACCTACCTTATAAGGTACATATATACAATTGTCTTATAATACATAGACATATAATCACTGTATAATGCACAGAAAATGGGTACTTGTCTTTGTCCAAATTAGTAAAGGAAAGAAAATTGGTGAGTGTAATATTTTAATGTATTCTAATTGGAAAGAGAAGTTGGAATCTAAATGCTATATGGAAATGGAGGAGTGAAAACTGAGAACTGAATTCTCTCTCTTCTCTGAGACATGCAGAGGAAAGAGACAGCTAGTTAGGACACAGCAAATATAAATTAAAACTGTTACAGGATTAAGCATCATTCTCATGAAGCAAATGCTTGTGTTCAATATTTACTTTAGGTAACAGATAGCGACTTAATGCTTAGAGATTAACAGAAAACTTAGTATACTAATACCAATGACCTGAAAGAGTGTTGCTAATCAGAAATACAAATAAATACAAAATGGTACATACCATACTGATTACTTAGAGCTAATCTTGATTGAAGTACAGCGTGATAGAGTGCCTAAAATACACTGCTTTCATGACCTGCACTTAAAGGCTCACCTACCAAATGAATGGGGGGGGGGGCACAGTGGAGTAAGGGATAATGACTTTGATTATGGAATTGGAGAGCTGAGTTCAAATTCCAGTCAAATTAATTACAATCTCTTATGTGTTAATAACCTTGGGAAAGGTATGAATCCTCTTCTCTCCCCAGCTATGGTTAAATAGCAGGACAGACCAGGTTCTATAGCCTTGGATGGCAACTGGTCTACCACAAAAAGAAATGGCAACCTAGTGTGGGAAAAAATCTGACTTGTCAGTTATGTATCGAAAGATACATGATCACCTAAGCGTGTATCACGTATGGCACATAACTGACTGATTGACCAAATGGTTACTTACAAACACAAGTATATAAACAATGAGCCTACCTGCGGACTCAGGTATAAACAAAATCAGCATTATCGCGAATTAGAAACATTATGCATGTTTGACTAGTATTTCTAGTTGACTAATTTGTTGTCAGCATCCACTCACATCTGATCATTAGGATCATCATCTTCTCTCCCTATTCCCTTTCTCTCCTCTGGTGGCATTGGTAGTGATAGCTGTGAATTAATGAGAGTTTGATGAGGACATTTATGTGAATTTGATTCTGGTGGACAACTCTGAATGACAGAGAAGCTAGAAGAGCCTCCTTTGTGGCTCAAAAGGATTTGAGACAGGTGAAATCTGGCAAACCTAGTCGCATTGGGCTGTAAGATGCTTTGGTCTTTCAAGGTCCACCTTGGTTATACCAGCCCAACTGTCCTCCTCATCCACCAGTTTGTAGATATTTGCTTCTTTCTAATGTTAGGGTCTTCGGGGTTGGTCACATTCAGACTGGTCCTTCCTCTTCAACCTTATCCCCATGGATGGCACCACCGGAGTTGAAACTCCAGATGGTTTCACTCTTGACTAATACTACTAGTATGTTATTATATTATTTCTAACCTACTAATAACATTAGTGCACATAAAACTAAACTTTGTGGCAAAATGAAGGCCAAGTTTGTCTGGTTGAAACTGATCTTCTGTCAACCATGAACATTCCCTTGACCCAACTGACAGAGCACTTCTAAAGAGAAAATGATGTACATTCAAGTCTTGTTGAGAGACTCTAACTTCATTTCTGATCTGTGCTGTTTACCTAATGGCATTGACATGCTGACTAAAATTGTAGAAAAAAATGCAACAAAAAATACAAGAAAGAAGGAGTCAAGAAAAACAAAAAAAAACTTTGTAGTACAATTTCTAAATTCCTCACTTTATTTGAAAACAAGAAAGTTTTCAAGATTCTAAACAGAACACTATCAAAACTTCACTTGAAAATAATCAATAAAATTGATTTGTCAATTAATGAGGCAATAAATATCAACTTACCTGAGCAAATTTAAAGATAGCAAATGCAGGAGCACTGTCATTGGGATAAACACTTCCAATAATTGAGTAGATCTATGGAAAACGAAGTAAATTAAATAAATGTTTATAAAAAAAAAAAAAAAAAGATGCCTTCCAAACACTATGCAAAAGACAAAGAAACAGAAGTTTTTGTTAAAAACAAGGAAAAGAGTGATAAATATCAATCTTCTTATATGGGAGTGAATGTTGAACAATTTGCGCACAGATGTAAAGTGGGCTTGAGACAACAGAGATGCTGAGAATACCAGAACAAGGAGGAAGTTCAACAAAATGTGAAACAAAAAGGACACTTAAGATCAAAAACAGACAGTTGAAATATCTGAGACACATAATGAGGAAGGAGGGTTTGGAGAATGTAACACTCCCAGGACATACTGAAGGCAAAAGAGGCAGAAGGAAAGAGTAAATAATTTCCTTAACAACCTTGTATAAATCAATGGTGGAACATTGGTAGGGGACAGTAAGGGAACAAACGCTGCTTTGAGCTATGAAGGACAGGAAGATGTGGAGACCAATGATCGCTTACATCCTAAAGGGACACAACACATAGAAGAATATCCTTAGTCTGTCAGGGAAGCAAAAATGTATTTCTGATGCAGAAGTTATCTTGTTTTAATCTGAGGACAGAGTATGAATGATTCTGTTTTCTTTATGCCAAAGAAAACAAAGTAAATGAACATTTTCATTATATCTACATAACCATAAATAAATAAAACATGTTCCAAAATGAAACTTTAAAATAAATAAAAAAAAAAACAATCAGGCTAAATAGCAAATAATCAAGGAAAATAATAATTATGAAGAAGAAAAAAAATTCCCGTTTCTAAGGGAGATAATTCTTGTTTAAAATCATCGAGTTATCTTTCTTGTAACCTTTAAACTGAAGAAACTATTTGCTATAATTCAATCGAATTGAACAAGATCAGTTCTAACGCATAATTAACCACTTGTAATTATCGACTTAGGGGTTAAGTCATAAAAATATAAACATTCTAATTTAGATAAGTTCCCTAAAAGTTTAGGACTTTTTTTAAGACCAGAATAAAAAATATCGTATGCTGATTAGCATCCCATCAATATAAATTTTAACCTTTAATGATTAAATTTGTAAGTAATAATGCAAATGTCTACTTTTCTCCTGTAACAGATTGAATAAAAGATTGTGTTTGAAATTCTAATAAATTTACAGAGAACACTGGCACACACCCGAGGAAAGTCATAGGGTAAAATGGACAAAACTTTATGAGGAGAATTCTGATTGGAATAGCAAGACATATAAGGATCATTTCTCACCTCAAAAATTTCAACTACTTTAACCCTCTTTGGCATCAAATCCACTGAAGAGACTAAAAATCTTTATGCTCAAGAAAAGAGATTTTTCAAAAGCATAAAAAAAGATTCTCACTCCAATTTGTTCCAGCACGTGTCTCTCTCTAAAGCAGGATACAAAACTCATGTGCAATTACATGCATTACTCCAAAAATGTAATTATGATAAAGGTATTGTCAGGTCAGCTACTTACCAAAATTGTCATAAGACCTGCATGTCTAAAAAGGGTCATAAACAACATATTAGGATGAAGAGTAATAGTAATTAGGTTAAAAACACATTTAGTAAGAACCAAGTTGAAAAGCCACATGTGAACCCATACTTAACCTTTCAAAAGCCACATGTGACCCCAGGCTTAACCTTAGAAAAGCCACATTTCTATAAGATACATAATAATAAAATAAATACATTAATTAATCATACAAACCTAAATGGTGGTTTTATGGAGAGGAATGCACACAGATCAAAAGACATTAATCTGTAATTAACAGTTAATAGTCCTCAAGTTATCTCCCATAGACAGATATTTTTTTCATCAGTTTATTCTTAAAACTCCTTTCAAAATAATGGACCAAATGTACTGAAAATTATTTTCTTCTCCAAACTTGAGCAATTTAATAGTAATGTGCTAACAAAAATTGCATTACTCTGTGCCAATGTTGTCATGTGCAAGTAACACTAAAACAAAATACTTTAATGGTTCACCCAATACAAGGCCCAAGAGCCACTCAAGGTAAACAGTTACTAAATGAAATTGTTGTGATGGATGGAGAAGGGCACATTACGAAAACATATAGGATAGATATCGGTTGACCTTGAACATGAAGAGACCAGGATTGTGGCTGTCAGGGAAGCACCCTCTCGGGAGTTCCACAAAGTTCTGGGAAAGAAACTGAGTGAAACTTACTCCTAACCAAAGAAGCACAAAGGGAATGGAGATGATTTGTCACCATGAATATATGCCATGGCAACTCCTGGCTGTGCAGGTCTGAACTAGTGGAACTAAAAAATGTACCAGCCACAAATCAAGTCCTTATCAAATGGAAAGTGTAAAAGTGCATAATGAGAGTAATCACCTCTCATTAAATTTCTAGAATTAAAATAGACATTAAAATATCAACAAATCTGCCTAAGAATATACTCAGATCATTTGTAAACATCTATGCTGATGATATGACACTATAGGGGTGCATCTCTAAAACTCCTGACGATCAGAGATTGGCAGCTGATCTCTCTTCCGATCTAGCACTAACTTGGGGAAAAACTGACTGGTTATATTCAACGCCTTGAAAATCAAACTAGTTACATTCCATAACTGCCATTCAGACCCTGAACAATGAACAGATGTCCCCCTTGCGGAGACACCATGCCTTGAGTGAATATTGGGCCTCAAACTCACACCTGACTTCAAGTGGAACTCTTGTATATGATCCATTGCTAAAAATGCAGGTAAAATGATTGGCTCCCTGTACCACTCCAGTAAGTACCTGACTCCTCATGCTATCCTCTACCTTTATAAAAGCCAGATCAGACCAAAAATGAAGTACTGTTGCCATATTTAGCCGGAAGCTGCCCAGACCTCACTTGATAGAGCTCAAAAGTGTCTCTGAGTCCTTGTTGGAGAAAAATTATTTTCTACAATCCAACCTCTCTTACAGGTGGGATATGGTGAGTATCTTACTTACTTTAGAGAGGAGGCACGGTGGAGTAATGGATAGCGGCTTGGATTGAGGAATCGCAGAGCCAAGTTCGAATTCCAGTCGAGTCCATTACATTCGCTTACGTGCTAATACCCTTGGAAAAGGTATGAATCCTCTTCCTCTCCCTCCAGCTATGGGTAAAATAGCAGGACAGACTGGGTTCTATAGCCTTGGATGGCAACTGGTCTAGGAGAAGGACAACTCTGAATTCAAAACCTGCAAAGGGTTGTTTGGGAACCTTGTGGCATTCGGTGCACCAAGTCTCTGTATTTATCCCTTCAAAGATCTTAGATGAGGGTGAATGGAGTTTCTCTAAGCCTTGGTTGGCACTCCATTTAGCGATGGTGTCACGATAAAAAATACCCTTGATAGCCCTAGTGAAGCATCAAGAATTCAGCTATTTGACAAGATTATAAACTACACCAATCAAAGTATTGAAGATAAGGAATACTGGAAAGGTGTAGTGAGTTCGAGGCCACAAGATGATGATGATCACTACTTCCATGGAAAGTGCACAGGCGAATTGCATCTCCAGCCATGCCACTTCCATAGTAGCAGACCCCATCCTCATTCCCTTCGTATTCCATCGGTGAGAAGTAAGTTCCACTCAAACAGCTTCTTCCCTCAATGCACTGCCCTGTGTAACTGACACCCAATTTTAAACTGTCCAAGTCTAGAGTTAACCATTATCTTCCCCCTCCTATCCCTATAAACAATCCCTTATCATAACCCTCTACCTCAAATGGACCTCAGGCTTTGTACATGGTAAACCTTGCTGTAAAAAAATAAATAAAATAAAATATCAAATAAACTCCATTAATCTAAACATGTCATTTTTAGAGATGAATAATTTGCATTCATAAATAATATTAAAATTTACCTGTGTATTGTAGATACTGTCTCCAAGTCCCAAGAGGAAGCTACAGACCATGGCTAGAATTACACTGAAATGTTAGAAGAGAAATGAATGAATGAATGCAAATATTTATATTATAAAAACAATCAAAAATGGATTACATTGATAGGATGTTGCTTGATATTGAGACAAGCCATTCCCAAAAATTTGCAGCCATTCATTTGGGAAAGGGGTGAACACAGAAATCAAAAAATTACTTTAGAAAAGAAGAAAAACAAAATCAAATCTGGCAAAGTGAAGAGAGAAATAAAAACAATCTGGTACAAAATGTTTGTTTAGCGGTATATCAACTCCTTATGGGTCATTTAATGTGGAAATTTAATTTTCTCTGAAGCATTAGTAATTTATTTTACAAAAATTTATTACCAGTAAATTTTTAACTATGAAAATATTTATACTTTCATAGTGTTTTGACCCCAGTATAGAGAGTCACTATTTGCCCATAGCTGAGACCCTCCCAATCAGAGGCCTTGCTACCAGATGTAGTTTATCATCCTGGCACAAAATGGCACAAATAAAAATAAAATAATAAAGCATTAACATTAATAAAACATGAAATGAGGTTAGGTTAAGTTGGTCAGGTCAGGATAATCCGATAAACTTCAAGATGGCTTTTAAAAATCTTTTTTATTGAAGTAAAAGGAAAACTTAAAAAAAAATTGGCCTTTTACATTGTCCAGGGGGTCAGTTGTCTTATGGGAGCAATTGTCTTCTAACCATCAGAATGACTTCCAGTGAGGATTGAACTCAAATTGTATATCCCAAAAGTTCCTCTTTCATGGATAACATTTTGATGAATTTGACCAGATACATATTGCTATGAAAGTCAGTTTTGCATTGTAATTATATTTTGAATACATTTGGCCAATCAGGATATGTTCAGAATAACCCAGTCACTGCTTATAAAAAACTGGTTTTTATCAAAACTGGTCACTCAAATTTCGTCAAGTTTAGCTAAGCAACATTGAATGTTTTCTCTACAAATGTAATCATGACTGCAAGTTCACAACACACAAGTTTCATTTTCTATTCTTTTCAAAACTGTGTGTGTGTGTGTGTGTGCTAGGAACTGTCTTAAACAGCCATGCCATGTAGAAATTCAAATGTCAAGAAACCAGATCCAATCATTGTGAAGATCTGACATCACTGTTCCAACAAGACAATAACAAATTGGAAATGAAAAAAAAATTGTTAAGTATAAAAACAATATGCAAACATAAGATACAACACTAGTGCAAAATAATTATATATTAACAGTAAGTTGTAATTATTTTCTTTTTAAAAATATGATTCCATTGTGACAGAGAAAATTTCCATGTTTCAAAAATGAAACTAGATTTATAAATTTAATTATAAAAATTAAACTTAAAATCCATAGTCTCGTTCCATTATCAAGGGAAATTAAAACCCAACCCACCCCTAAATTAAAATGGATTTTCCTTAACCTTAACAACTCATCAATATTTCTTAGAAAGTTTATTCCTAACATCACTTGACAATGGAACGAGACTATGGATTTTAAGTTTAATTTTTTTAACTAAATTTTATAAATTTAATTTCAGTTTATTTTGCTTTACTCTTTGTATCGAGCGTTGTTTTTTTTTTTTTAAATAAAAATAATTGCTAAGAACACCGGATTATAAATCTTACTGTTCTTTCTTCTTATTTTAATATATGTGTATTGACAGTATATCATTTAAGGGAGGGAATTCATCTTCAATATCGCTGGAGTTACCTCCCATGGTTCATCTCGTTGAAAACTGAGCATTTCTATTGTCTGTTCACAAAAAGAGACGGTTTAGCAAATGTAAAATTCATAGAGTGAATTTTATCTGGAGAGCAACCATCCAGATCCGAATGTTTACTTTCCTAGGACATGTAATGAGACTGCCTAAAGAAGCAAGATGGAGAAGCAAGACGTAGAGTAGGATGAAAGGAGATCGTCCAGAAATGTTACGGCTGAGAACAATTAAAGGCAACCTTACAAATATAAATACTGTTTCACATTACAAATCTAGCATCTCTCCTTCAACTGTAGAACTTAACTTCGGACAGATGTGGTTGAAGTCAACAGAAAAGATTGCTCATGCAATAATTTATTTTTCTGTAATATTAAAAGAAAACAGCATCAAAACTTGAAGATTACTTCATATATTTAACAAATTTCAAAGAAGAAATGGAGAAATGTCTTAAATGAATCAAAAAACATTAATGAAAGATAATTTTTACAAATTAAATTTGATCTTCACCCCTTTAATAATTCCCATGCCCCATAAACACACTGAATCAAGTTTATCAAATATTTCAAAAGCAACTTCAAGATTTATATCTTTTTTGAATAAACTAATACAATTAGATTCATAGTTAATATCTTATTTTTGAGAATTTTTTCTTTACCAATACCTGAATGTAAGTATTTTTCCACCCATAACTGTATACGAAATTGATTGGAACTTACCTAGATTCAATAAAAGTCCCTCGTTGGGATTCTTGGTAAGGTGCATCAAATGGAATATTAAGAAAAATAAGATAAAATGCCAACATATGTACAACAAATCCCATTAAAATGAAAGGGTCTTTGCCAAAACGATTTGTCCATTTACCAAATATACCAAACACAACTCCTCCTGGAAATAAGAAAATGTCAAAATTAGAGACAGAAAAAAAAATTGATTTCAATTTTCAGAATTTAATATCATCACTTGAAATAACTTTCCCCTAAAATACGAAGTATATGCAATCAATAGCAGTTGCACAGATTTGTATAACATATGTATTTTAATAAGCAATAGCAAAATTTATTGCCTATTAAAATACCAAAAGTTCATAGAGAATGATGGACATGGTGTAAAAACACATTTCTAATATCGTCATTTTACAGAGGAACAGTACAAATGAAAGAAAGAAAATAAGATGCGTTCAGAATGAGAGAGAGAGAAATAAGGAAAAAATTCCACTTACCAAGAATTTCTCCAGCACCAATAATAATCCCTGAGATGCCAATCAGGCCTTTGGCATCTTTACCAAAATGAATGTTGTTAGCAATACAAGTGCCATAGATACCACTGAAGAAGGTCAGTTCCAATCCTGAAGTGAGAAAAAAAAAGATCTGAAAGAAAATCAAATTGCTTTTAAAATTAAAGAGCAACAATTCATCAAATGGAGAAAACTCTGAATTGTCTGAATTGTTGTGATGAAACGATTCTAGCTCGGCTTTGGAGGTACTGACAATTAGAAGTCATCATTTCCTCATTGATCTGTTTGAGCTAGATCAGAGGAGAGATCAGCTGCAATAGTGATATCATCTGTATACATGTCTGAGAATGTTCCTGGGGAGATAGTTAATAAAAAGCAGAAAAAAACAGAGGGAAAGAGATCATTGGCATGTTTTTGTCTGCAATTGATCTCACAGTCTTAGAAGACTAATCATTCAAAACAACTTTCATGGACCTACCTGATAGGACTGACTTGATAACTGAGAAAACTCTTCCAACTCAAAAACAAAATGGTAATTTCTTCAGAACTTCTTTGAAAAAAAGAGACTGGTAAATGTGAAGAAAAAATCACTTTCTCTACAAAATCTGTTTTTAATAAAAAATTTTGAACAAAGGTTATCATATTAACATTTTCAATGTTGTTAGTTATGATAGAATTTGTTTTTAAAGAATTTTAAAGAATCAAAATGAAGTTTCAATTTCTTTGCAATAATAGAGTGTTGGAAATATTTGCTATTTTGTGATTAAAAATTTTATATTATATACAAATCAAAAATTCATTCCCCAAGTCAAAATTTTCATAACTGGTTATCCTAATTTGAAATCTGCTCATCCTAACAACATTATCACATGAGCTAAATCCATATTTTCCTGGTACCATCTTAAACTAACTCCATATTTTCCCAATTTATCTAAAATAATTATAAACTAGATTTTTGGGAAGTGAAATTTTCACCAAAATATGTTGGAATACATTTAAGTTTTCATTGGCGATCAAAAACCTTTATGCAAAAGAATCACAATATATGGGAGAGAAATGAGGCATTAAACTGACACCAGGAGAATATGGAGACACCAGGAGAATATGGAGACACCAGGAGAATATGGCTTCAATAGTTATCCACTTTAAAACAGTCATGAGATGTTTCTTTGGTATTCAAGCTTCTTAACAAAAATAACTAATAATAAAATAGAACAATTCTAACAATAGACTGGAATAAAAGTCATTGTGACAGACAGAAAATTTGCATAAACGTAAATCTTATTACACACAATAAGAGATTAACAACAACTAATAATAAAACAGAACAAGTCTAACATTAGACTTTATAATAAAAGTTTTGCAAATGAATGACAAAATGAAAAAATTCTGTGTAATGCATTTCATGCTCTTAAAGGACTTCATCAGACAAAAATAAGCAAAATTTATGTAGTGTTTCTATCTTGAGTTCACCCAAGATAACTGAAACTACAGTTAGATTGGATGGGGAAGTATTTTGACTAAAACTAAAACTGTTCTTCAATAAGATTAAAACTTGATTTTTGCCACTTGAAAATCTACTCATAAAACTAATTTTAGCAGCAACAGAAATTTCAAAAATGGTTTTGCTAATCATTTCATCTTGAAAAGAGCAAACTGTAAACAAGATAAACGCAAAACCCCAAATGGTTTGTATCTATTTAAGGAATTAAAGAAAGGTTGAATGTATTTTTACAGTGAAGACAAATTCAGATACTCACCTGTGTAGATGAAAGGGAAAAGAAGTAACAGCATAGTCCGAGTCCTTATCAACTTGAAGGATTTAACTGCAATTAAAAGATTAACAAAATACACACCTTAAGATTTAAGCCATTCTATTCAAAGTATTCGAAAGCAGCTTTCTAGATTCAGTCAAATAACATTTAAAAAATATTTTTTAACAATGTGCAGATAGAAAAGAAAACATTATTATGTTTTTTATATATATATATATATATATATATAGTACAGGTAATTGATCCAGGTAGATCCTAGTAATATTAATTATTAAAACTGATCCATAGAGAGCTCGATACATTTATTATAACAGAACACATGTTTTTTTTTTTGTTGTATATATATATATATATATATATATATATATATATATATATATATGAAGAAAATATATACGGAAAAAACAAAACAAAAATCCTTATATACAATTATGCAGTTTTAATGTTAATATGTCAACGTCGGACGTTTCGGTCTAATAAACCATCTTCAGGACATATTCATAAATATAACATTATTATCAATACAACATGACAAAGACGATGTACATAAGAACAAGACTTATCCAAACAAATAACTGAATAACTTATGTACATCGTCTTTGTCATGTTGTATTGATAATGTTATATTTATGAATATATCCTGAAGATGGTTTATTAGACCGAAACGTCCGACATTGACATATTAACATTAAAACTGCATAATTGTATATTAGGATTTTTGTTTTGTTTTTTCCGTATATATTTTCTTCATACTGTCGGATCTATATCCATATATTTGCTTACATATATATATATATATATATATATAAAATGAATTAATGGATTTTATTTATGATCTAATATTACATCTTATTACTATAAATGTTATATTTAGTAGATACAGATGTTTGACTTCTGCCGAAAGGTATATTTTCTTTAAGACACTTGATTATTCAAGGCCAGTAGACATCAATTACACTGTTTCAAAAAACAGGAATGTCTACTTTATCCACTAAATTTAATGTCTGTAGTGATAGATAGATAGATAGATAGATAGATAGATAGATAGATACATCATTGATAACTTTGAAAAAGTAAACAATAAAATTAAATTATAAATAAAAATGAGATAAAATATTCTCAAAGTAATCTTTGTCATTTTGTAAAAAAAAAAAAAAAAAACCCTCTTTAATATGCAAAAAGATTTTCTCTATTCACTAACCCTAACCCTGAAGCTATTTAAGTCAGGGTCTACTTTCTCTTGATTGGGTCTCAATTTGTGTGAGAGAGCAATTACACATAAGGTCAGATACTTTTAGAATGTTTTACATATTTTCTATTGATAATTTCCTTTTATTGTTCAATCTTTTCAAATTAATCAACAATCCTCTTTGATAAAGGTCGATTGAAAAGTTGCCCTCTTTAAAGGACTTTCACCAACTTTTTTCCTTTTCCATAGTAATTTTCATCCAATCTCTGCTTCTTCATACTAAACTTTTCAACACAAAACTTCTTCTGATATTTGAAGATCTGTTAATAAAACCAAAATGATTTTCCAACCAATGATAAAGCAAAAATATTTAACTCACAGAATGTCTCCTTGACGCTTGGTGGTGTAACCGTTTCTCTAAGGAGGAAAATAAAAACAATGCTTAAAGAATTTGTTCTGTAATAATAAAATGCTGTACTTATGAAACAAAAAGCTTTGCTGGCCCCTACAGCCCACCCCCACCTCAGAGTTTTCCTTCTCCTAGACTGGCTGCCAGCCAAGGCTATGGGGCCCCAATCTGTCCTGCTATTCACCCGTAGCTGGGGGTGGGTGGGTAGATGGATGCATACCTTTCCCAAGGGTAAGTGAATGTAATGAACTCGACTGGAATTCAAACTCAGCTTCTCAATTCCTCAACTGTACATCCTATACATGTGAGTATAAAAACTTAAACTTTGTCACATTGCTAAGCAAAATAATTAGACATTTTTAAATGCTCACAAAAAAGGAAAAGAAAATTAATATGGTGAAAAAAGTATTGATAAATAAAATATTTATAACCAAAAATACTAGTCCTATTTTAAATTGGTTTCATTTCACAATAGAAATGAAACATTCATTTTTTAAAAGTATTTCATGTTAATTTCAGTTGCTTTAATTTCACTAGTAATATTAGTAAAAGTAATATGATGTTGAATTTTTTATTACAGAAACTATTGTCATTCATTTAACACAAAATAAAAAAAAAAAAAAATTAAAAAATAAACCCAACTAATCTAAGGAAAATAACTAGAATAAAACTTTTTTCTATTTCAGTCTTCTATAAATTTGTTTAATTTTCTTTTTCAACATCTCTCTATCGATCAACAGAACCCACTAAAAAATCACAATCCCGGGGATGGAGGAGAGGGAGGGGATCAATGGTGCACAGGTTACACAATGAATCAACAGAGTTCAACTCTCGTAGCGAAACTTCTACACATTCTGATCCAAACACTCTGTATTCTATGAATTCGATCCCCAATTAACTGTGCAATCCACTATTTATTAATATTTCTAATCATGCATGCAAATGACCGATAGTATTAAAAACAGTATTGTCATGCAAGCGTCGTGAGATGATTGCAAATGGCCACTCCTTGTAACTACTCACGACGTCAGCCATGTTAGATTTACATGCCACTTTGCCTAATCAGTAAAGTGTATTCTCTTTCCACATTCTTCCCTGGTATCACTATTACATAAGTGACAGTGCAACGGTCACTGCCTACATCAAGTGCTTCTTCAGGGAGGGGGGGCTCTTCTGCCTGCATTCCTCCCACATCGGTGCCCATAGGATCCCCCACCATTATTGATCTCCTCACTATCATCACCATCATTATCTCATGACTGTTACAGTCATTTCTGTATCTGTAGGCAGATTACCCGATCACATTCTTAAAGGCAGCAGAGTCTGAAAGCCACAGTCAAACAGCACTTTCATCTTCCTCCAGAGTGGTTAATCTATAACGAGGGCGAAGATATTTCGCATGGCATGAGACACCATTAATTAGTACTGTTTGAGGGCTGACTATTTAATCAACTTGTCCCTTGCCAAACTTGCTAGTGCATTGGCTGTTTGGGGTTTTAATCCAAACATGGTTTCCCACTTGATACAGAGCATCTAGACTATCAAATAGGCAATGGTGTCACATCTATCCCTTTTACTCGCTGCTCATACCAGTAGATCCCATTGGCTGATATAGTTGACAGTGTTGTGTAATCCTTGGGTGTCACATTGTACCAATATGCAGCCTCTACATTCTGGCAGCAATACTTTTGACAGTGCAGTAGAACAGCGCTGATATGCTGTTACACTTTGGTACACCAGTATTGCATTCTCACTCCCCATTCATCTACAAAGGTCTGAAATTTTTAACCACAAAAGGTTGGAGCATTGTCAATTAACATTTCAACCAGTGTGTCGCATTCACAAAAGACAGATCTTAGTTGTTGTATGATGGTCAATGCATCTTGACGTGACAATGGGCATCATATGGTGAAACATATCAGGCCACAATCTGTCAATGTTAAAATATGACTGCCATCATAATGCATTATATTCATATCCAACCAGCACCAGTTGCTGTCCACGCTGAGCTTTTTGTTTTGTGAATGGCCTGGGGCTGGGTCCACCATCTAACACTCTACACAAGCTCGTATAGCCGATTTGATGATCACCTTCTTAGTTGAGGGACACACTTTTCAGACAAAAGTAGGTGGTGCACCGAATGCCAGGATGTCCACTTTGTTGGTGTATGGCACGGATCTACTCGAGTGTTAATTAGTGTGTCGCAATAGCGCATGTCAGCAGCAAGGGGTTGGATCCTTGTCTAATCATAACAAGCTACCTCTTTGGCACACGGGTCAGCTTATCTGCCAGATTCTGCTCTGATGCAATCAGTCAGCATAACATCAACCCGTAAACTGTATTCATCAACTAGTTGCTTTATGATCGCCAGTCTCCTCTGCGCCAACATCTCACTTGCAGCCTTGGTCCTGATTCGCAATTTGCCTGTCAAAGTGTCAGTCATCCAGTGGTAAACACATACTGAGTCCATGTAGAGATGCACCACCTTGGCTTGCCACTGTAGCGCAAGATTAAGGCCCTTCAGCCAAATTAATATGTTACGCATCATATGTCAGACAAAGCCATCATGCAAAAGACTGGTTCCTCAGTAGAGATAGCCCACATGATTCTTGGCATCCACCAATCAGTAAATTTCCAGCTGATGTGATCTTAACACCCACTAGAGTTATTATTGCATCAATGACAATAAATAAGTCATAGCCAAGAGGCTTTTCCCCACACCATCATTACATCAACTTCGGCAAAGTCACTACACTATGTATGAATGCCTTGCAAGGTAAGTGTATTCTCTCGTTACACCCACTAAACCATAACATGGAGTCAGAAGTGGAATGTCTAAATCAAGTGACAACATATAATAAACCATGTCCCAGCTTTTTTTTGCCTTCTGTTTGTGACCCTGGGTTTCTGTTTTTGCAATATGATAAAAAATTGTGAAACCCAGAGTCATAAACTCATATCCATACAAATAAATATGTTAGCTCTATCATTGATATTGAGCACTTTACACTAAGTCAGTCAGTCACAATTAGACAATCACGTATCTTTTGATACATGACTGACGAGGCAGTTTTTTCCTCCGCAGTAGACCAGTGCCATCCAAGGCTATAGAACCCAGACTGTCCTGCTATTTACCCATAGCTGGGGAGAGAAGAAAAGGATTCATATCTTTCCCAAGGGTATTAGCACGTAAATGAATGTAATGGATTCGACTGGAATTCAAATTCCATTAAGTACTGCACATATAATATATAGATAGATAGATAGATAGATAATAATGTCTATTTGGGCAGCTGCTACAGTTTTTTGTGTATATGTATATATAACTAGTGAGTTAGCTCAAATGACTTAACTCACTTTATAATCCACCAATAGAAGGTTAACCAATCAGAAGACGTAGAACATTCAATCCGTCGTGTATAAAGACGGCCATTTTGTTCACTCTACCCGAATGTCCAGTCCAGCTTGTCAGGTGAATAGAAACAGAAGGACAAACTATGCTCTGCTACTTTTACCAAAATATCCACTGCTAACCTGAACAACGCTTTCCTACTGTCTTCGAAATATTCACTGCTAACCTCTAAATTCTATACTCGAAGACGACCGTCATGATGAATAACAGCAGCAATATGCATGTATGATAATTTTAAGGTATGCAATATTTATAGATTAAAGTGCACAATATCAGAGATAGAGCATATGTAAAATATAAAAGTGGACATTGAGGTCAACACCCAGAAGCGACACACTTGAATACAATCTAAGTATAAAACAGTCTGTCACCGCTACATGTTGAACACAATGTCCACTTTTATATTTATATACATGTTGTAGCATACCTATGGACGATAATGGTTATGTCCCCATTCACATAAATACAGTAGTAAATACTGTATGTTGGTCTGCAGTTGGTGATTCGTTATGGAATTCACTTGACTACTTCTACATACTGCTGGTAAATCTGTGTTGTGTTGTTCTTGTCCTAAGTATTATTGCGCATTACCAAACTTTGTGTGATTATTCTATTCAGTAACCTCCCCTAGGTTACAACAATATATATATAATTTCAATCATTTTTTTTAAATTTTTAAAATAATTTTTCAGATTCTTTTGCACAAGCAAAAGTCTAAAAAAATAAACAAAAGCTATTGTCCAAATATTTTAGCAATTTTATGTATGTAAATGGTGGAAGTTGACTTAAAAAATATTTCCACAAATTTTGCAAAATTCTCTTTTCAAAAAGAGACAAGAACTAAAAATTGTATTGAAATCCAATTAAATGACTAGAAAATAGTCAAATGATTTTTAAATCCTGATTTTTATTCTTGTGAAGCTATTCAAAGTTTACACACGCACACACACACACACACATTAGGTTCTGTAATTTACTACATAATTGCAATCATAAACTGAAGAGAAAAGTAATTTCATAAGATACTCACAAATCCTCCATTTCTGAATCCCTTGTAAATGATGCTTTTGTACGTAATAGAAACATGCAAAGAAGTCCCACTGCACAGGCTCCACCCAGACCAATGAAGAGGTGCATACGCTTTTCTGCTGTAATAGTGAAATCACCTCTTAATGTTGTGTATGAGTAGACGTTTCCCCAAAGTAAACTGGAATAAAAAAAATAAAAAAGAAAGTTTCCTGTTATTTCAAACCTGATCAGTTATTGCAACATTTCCGTTTCTCAGTGGCTTTCTGAAACAGAAATAAACACAAAATTCATTGAATTTAACTAATATACACATATGATAAATGAAATAACTTCTGAATTTCCTTTTTAGCAGCAAGACTTGCAATTCAAAGATTAAATATGAATAAATGAACATATCAAACATTTTCTTCAAAAGAATATTTTATTCTTGAGAAGACGGATCATTGATCTCTTGAAGAGAACCAATAAAATTCAACAAATTGTAGTTATCTAGTTTCATTTCAAAACCACAAGTAAAGTTTTTCATCTGAAATGTCTTAACATGAAAAATCTATACGCCAGTGACGCCAAATCATTTTCCGACTCTCATTCGGGAGCTTCCATATGCCGATGATGCCAAACAAAAATCCTTTTCCGACTCTCTTTCAGGAGCTTCTATATGCCAATCGTGCCAACCTCATTGCTCATATAGACGAAGACATGTAAGCAATTATGAAGCTATCCTCTGATGCATACGCTACCTTTAAGCTAACCATCAATCACACAAAAAACAGGATCAGGTATTCACACATTCCTGGTTGTCCCTATATTGAATCCAACATCTTTTTGTATCTATTAGATATATTCATCTAATTTGGTAGCACTCAGCCAGAAACGGTTCCCTTGACTCTGAAACACACCTAAGGATTGAGAAAGATAGTAAAACCTTTTCAAGCTAAAGAAATGAGTCCTTATCAGATAACCATCAGCCATGACCTCATCATGTATAAAACGTGTGTTATCCATTCTTTTGTATTCCTCCAACACTTGGACTATATTCTGACATCACGTTTTGCCGTCTTACCTGAACTGCAGGAGTGCCCAGAAGATTCCACTGTTTCTTGCCATTGTATCAGAATTGGAATTTTGTGTGAGAAATGTTCCTTGACCTGTCCAGATGACTGCAAAAGGAAAAAAGTGTTATTTATTAGTTTTCAAAAAAGTACTCAAACATTTTATCAATCAATCAAGAAGAAATCATTTTAGAAACAAAGACAGGAGTTTTGTATTACTATGTAATATCAATCCTCCTCTAGTGAGTACTGAACAATCTACTCACAGATGAAAAAATAGATTTGAGTCAACAGAAATGTGGTTTTACAGAAGGATGATGAGAATACCATGGACCAAACATGGGAGTAACAAGAAAGTTTTAAGGAAAATGGAAACAAAAAAAAGACACTTTTTATATCATAGGCAAATATAATCTAGTAGTTGTCACTCCTCCTAAACTGCACATACTTATCACTTGCATGAAGACAGAACCTGCTCTCATCACCAAATTCCTCAGACCACCATTTGATCCCCACATGGTACTACTCTTGTGACACTTTTGAAGATATGTATGATAGTATTGTAACATAAATGGAAGTCTGGCTAGAGGTAGAATGTTCATAGTTCTGCTGCAAATAATGGTCATGGTAATATCAGATGTTTCCTTATAAGGAAACATTTGACATTCAATAACAAAACAGCCAGTGCCACTTGAATTACATTTTTTCTTCACTCCTTGGTAAGGATCAAAGTGTAGTATCTGTTCTCATCTTTACTGATAATATTAGCCATTTCTTTATAAGGAAATATTCTGACCTAGCATTGATTGAACAGCCTGTATGACTTTCAGTTGAAATTTATAAAATCTTTCCCTTAAAACAATTTTTCAGGATAATCGGTTTCTCAAGTACAGTACCTGTTATTGTTCTTTCCAGTATTGATGGGGTTTTCCTTTCTAACATTTTATTTGAAATAGTGTGAAATGTCAACATCTTCAATATCTGTCTATATCTATGAGATGAGGTATTATGATTACATTATTCAGGCTGTTATCCTCATTTCCATTGCCATATTCACAATGTTTCAACTATTGTACACTTCAGATGATTGAAATTTTGAACCAAACCCTTTATTTCGCCCACGGGAGTAGATTGTACTAGTTCCACGTGCCATGCCTCTTCTGGATGTTTCAGTTATTTCCCTTTAACTTTGAGTTCCATGTGCTATCCATTTTAGTTGTCACCTCTGTTGAAAGTTCTCAAGCGATGCAGTTTCTGTAATCTGCTACAGTTCTTTGATTCTGTAGCACCAACCCACAAAAAAGTGATCTTTGCCAAGATCCACAAGCTTTACTTGTTCAAAACCATTTTTAACCATTGATCTTAGAAAGCAGTGTATACAGCTGACAGTTTAGATATTTCTAACCAAGTTTGGTGTCATACATGACATCCATATGAAAGTCTCCATCTGACGCTTCTATTTAAGAACAGGACTCAATTTTCAGTCTTAGCTATTTGTGGTTGTGGACAAAACTACCATGAGCACAGCATATACTATGTTCAATTTCCGTATCTCTTATGCTAAATTTGTTATTTGAAGTGTTTAGCATTTACTAAATCCAACCATTGAAATCTTATGATTGATTCAAGGGAAGTCTCATTACTGCTTTGATTCTAATTCCAAATCATAGTTTTCCCAAAGGTCCTCATTGATAATAATGATCTTCTTTGATCTGCATCTGAATGCCATGTAACCTGCTACCACCACCCTTAATGTATGTATCTAGGCAAGCATCTTTACGGTACAAGCATCCAAAACCTGGTCTCGACATGTAAAAATATATTCATTTTACTACAGTTACCAATATTGAAATACCACCAACTCGCCACATTCAACATGCACAGGGAAATTATCCAAAAATGGCATTTGATATTTGATCATTTATGGTGACCAAACAGTAGATGTGAGCACAGCTAGGCAGTGGATGATGAGTTTCAGTTGTTAGAAGACCAATGTGTGTCAATCTGCATTCCATATACAAATATCAACCCACAAAGTGAAGAGTCGTGGCAAAAATTCAGACAGTTGTGGGGAATCTTTCAGAAAAACATTTCTTACAAGTGGAAAACTTGTTCAATCCAATTGTTATTGTGTTCCTTGTATCTGTCATAGAAATATGAATCCTGCACAAAATTATGTTTGTTCATCATATAAATTTTGCATTTGTCTATATTTCTGAGATGAGATATTGTAACTATTTACATCATTCAGACTGTTGCACTCATCTTTATCGTTATATTCACAATATTTAGGCTAGTATACATTGGAATTTTGGATCGAACCCTTTATTTCGTCCATGGAGGCAAATTGTTCTTATTTCACATGCCATGACTTTTAATGGAATGTCTCAGTATCAGTTACTTCCCTTTATTAACTCAACTCTCCAAATTTTTGTTCCCTATGCTGCGGTCAGGTATTAAACTCACAACTCTGAGTCAAATACACATGGCACAGTGGATAAAAGTATTTGGTTGAAGTAATCCAAATAGTAGCACATGGAATTAGAATAATCTACCCACATGGACTAAAAGTGTTTGGTTTGAAATTCCCATATATTTCAGATGAAGAAGATCAGAGTGTACAATGGCTGAAACATTATGAATATGGCAATAAAGATGTGGGCAACAGTCTGAAAAATGTAATAGCATAAATTATGCATTGCTTCATTTTTTTTTTCTCTCTCTCTCTTACATAAGAAGCTGTACAAAACACATTACAAAGATTTTTTTTGGGGGGGGGTACTACATTGAAAATTCTCTTTCTGAATATTTGTGTCTTAAATATTGATCATTCTTCCATTTAAGAATTTGTGGTTTCATTCTGCAATTAATTATATACCACAGATCTTTTGAATGTATTGATAACCCAGTTTTATCGCTCAGTGCTTAAATTGGAGGGAAAAATAATTAACTTGTTTCTTGATTCTAAATCAGAAGTTAATTCTTTGATATCAGAATATTTGCTGGAAAGTGTTTGTTTTGGAGGAAACATGCTGAAATTTTTTGAAGCTTATCAGTGAATATTCAAATATTTTCTTTCTTGCATGTTAGAAATGAACTTATTTAGAATTTAAAATATATCAGGCAGTTAAACGAATTTTGAACACCAAAGGTCATGTAACATTTCCCAGAATATTGTGTTACAGTCACAAGCAAACATTTCACATGAGTTCATGGATATGGCTTCATACACAAACCCTCCACAGCCAATGACATTCAGAATGGAAAATGAGTGCTTTATATTTAGGACCCATTTAATCACATAGTTCTGAAAAAAAAAAAAAAAAAAAACAATTTAAGAAGCCTACTTTTGATAAAATGTACCATCTTTCTAATGTCATTCATAGTAGTTTTACTTAATCTAATTTTCCAAAATTAAGCAATATCAAGCCTGGTCAGTGACCACCTGGGAATATTAGGTGCTATAAGCTGGAATGTGCAGGTGGTGTAATAGATAAGAATTAGAAATCAGAGAACCAAGTTCCAATTCTAGTCAGGTTTTTTATCTTCAGTTAAGACCAACTTGGCTACAAAGATTTTCACCAATTGAGCAAAGCCAAATAGTGCTATTAAGTGCAAATTTCTTCATACATTCTGTAAACATTCATATCTGCTGTGTTTCGTATCTTAAGGTAAACAAAGCAATTTCTAAAGAAATAATGGATGTTTCATTTATTAATCAACAGATTTTATCATTTATTCAGGCCAATAAAAATGAATAAATATATTTTTTAATAAATAAACAGAGCATCTACTCAAATATGGGTAAAAACTAAAAAGAGCATTTAAGTAACAAAATCTTTGAAGAAATTTGTGCTTAAAGGCAATCTATGGCTTTGCTTGATTGGCAAGACCCTTTGGTGCAGAGATGGTCTGAAGCATAGTGAATCTAACAATGGTTTATCCTCCTAGGGGGACACAGATTAAAATCCCAAAGATGCATTTATTCTTTAATAAGATTTCTCAAATATTCAAGCTGATAAATGAAAATATTTACTCAAATATGGGATATTTAAGTGATAAAATCTGTCAGATTAACAAATAAAAAATCCATTGCTTCTTTAGAAATTGCTTTGTTTACCTTAGGATAGGAAACTGAGAAGATATGAATGAAAAGAGAATCTTTGAAGAAATTTGAACTTAAAGGCACTATATTTGCTTATGCGCAAGAACCATCGGTAAAGTTATGAATCCTCCACGTCTCCCCCCAGCTATGGATTAATTAGTAGGGCTTGTATTATTATCTCCAAATAAATTCTTACAATATAAAAATATTTTCTGCTTCTAAATAACCAACAAAAATTTGATAAATCATAAAAAACGAATCAACCAGTTTTTTTTTTTTAAATAAAGCTTCATGATATAGTAAAAATAAACACACAACAATAGACAAGTATTATTTCATTTTTTTGCCACAAAATCATTTATTTTTTCCATGATAAATGGGGGGGGGTCCATCTGTATAGATATCTTCACATTTTTTCTAAGGTAAGTTTACAGATATCAAGTAATCATTCCAAGCATTAAAAAATATATATCTCCGAGTAGTTCCTGGAATTTATTTGCAACAAATACTGTTTAACTGTAAGAGAGAAACTATTTGCATAAATATGTATTTGCTTGTAGTAAAAACATAGCAAACTGTCACAAATTCAGAGCTACATAGACAAATATCCGCAAATCCATGCTTTACATAATCAGTTTTCTTCACCTGTGCACTTGTTCACTGCTACTGACTTTTTATATACATTCAGAGGTAGGGACACTAATCTGTAGGCATCTGGGTTATTGCATCAACAATTTTCTTTCTGACAATGGGAAAGAGCCTAAAGTTTACTCCCATTTTCCTTTGTATCATGGCACCAATGACATCAACTGGCACACACCCTCAGCTAATTTTTGAGGGTAAGTTGATTTCTTCTGTTTATTCATAAGTGAATATTTTTTTTTTAATATTTCAAGAGAAATGTATAGATTGTGGCAATGCTGCTCTCATATAAGGTCTTCTGCAAGTAATGCGACTGCAATCAATATTAAAAAAAAGCATATCCCCAAATTAAAAAGGGCTT